ACTGTCTTGTAACTCAACGAGCAGGAGGGCTTTATATTTGCGTTGGGATGCAACGAGACTCAGAGGTGCAGGAAGTTTCCCGGCTGATGTATTTCACACACACACACACACACACACACACACACACACACACACACAGACACACACAGACACACACACACACACAGAGATACAGACACACACACACACACACACACACACACACACACACACAGACTCAGACACACACAGATAGACACACACACACACACACTCACTCACTCACTCACTCACTCACTCACTCATACACACACAGCATCACGTCGGCTCTGACAGCACCTGACCCTGCGTCTGTAACCTGACACTGAGGGAGAAACGGTTCCTCCCCCGCTGCTGACACCTTCACACATCATGTATTCATGAAGGTGTAGTGGACTCTGAGGACATTATTCACCATTGTCTGCGGTGAAACACTAGCAATGATCTGTTCCTGATAAACGGCACACATGTGTAGTGAAAGATAGACGTTATCTGTCTACTTTTTTGAATGCAGCTGATTCTCCACAGCACGTAATGATTACGATGAAGAAGTCTTTACACATCTCTGTAATCTGTCTCTGTATTTACACAGACAGGAGCGCCTCCTTTAGTTTCCAGATGTCGTCACCACATCCTTCTTTTCTGTTTAGATTTCATAGCAAATATAATCTACTTTAAACAATGTACACACAACAAACAATTACTCCACAAAAACATTACTCAACACTTTAAAGAGGCCCTGTCAGCTTGTTGGGGTGTTCCCTCTCCTGTAGTGTGTTTTATAGGTTTTAGTGCATGTTAATGGTCGGCTAAGGCTAAAATCTCTGTGTTCTCTCCCTCTTCTGTCCAAGTAGAGGCACAAAGTACAAATATGAACCTGACAATTAGCAGAATATGTCGTCTGTGAACGAGCTCACACACACACACACAGACACACATACACACACACACACAGAGTGGGCTGCCCTGTGATCATCTTGCGACCTTGATGTCATGATGACCTCAGCAAAAGGTGTGTGTGTGTGTGTGTGTGTGTGTGTGGTGTGTGTGTGTGTGTGTGTGTGTGTGTGTGTGTGCTGTGTGTGTGTGTGTGTGTGTGTGTGTGTGTGTGTGTGTGTGTTGTGTGTGTGTGTGTGTGTGTGTGTGTGTGTGTGTGTGTGTGTGTGTGTGTGTGTGTGTGTGTGTGTGTGTGTGGTGTGTGTGTGTGTGTGTGTGTGTGTGTGAGTGTGTGTGTGTGTGTGTGTGTGTGTGTGTGTGTGTGTGTGTGTGTGTGTGTGTGTGTGTGTGTGTGTGTGTGTGTGTGTGTGTGTGTGTGTGTGTGTGTGTGTGTGTGTACACACTCAGAGGTGTGTCGCCCTGCAGTGATGTTGTAAATGTGGACAGCAGCGCTTCCATGTAAAATGTTGCGGTTGAAATCTGATGTAGGACACACACACACACACACACACACACTTGATTGATTGAAAATGCTCAGTAAAGGACGGTGCATTCAAACAAATTAAACTTTATTTGATTTAATTGTGTAAAAGTGTAGATGATGTGTGTACTGAAGGTGTGTGTGTTTAAGTGTGTGTGTGTGTGTGTGTGTACACACATGTGCGTCAGAGGAAAATTCAGCCGAGGCAGAATCCAGTGTGTCGTTTTAGAGATATCCTGTCAGGAAGTGAACCTCGCTCCTGTCGGTGACACACACACACACACACACACACACACACACACACACACGGAGTTCTTGTTTTTAGATATTTCCTCTTTACCCTCTGGTGGTGTCTTTGTCTTTATTAGCATCTCCATGCTCATTAGCATTAGCATGTCTGAAAGAAGTTTAATTGTATGTTTTTCTATCCTGCGCTTATATTCATTACATTCCTAGAACATATGGTATTAAAAATACAATCAAATAAAACAATTCAACAAAAACAAAACACTTTCTACAATTACGTAAATAATAATTCATAACAAACTTAAGTACTGTTCTTGTATAAATTGAATTGTGCATTTGAGTGTTTCAGGTAAATTATAAGACGCTTTGTCGGTAAGGTAGGGAAGCGCTTTTAAGCTTTAAAAGAAGCTAGCTTTGCTCAGTGAGAACCAGGGCTTTATTTCCAGTCGTCAAACAATGATGACAGAAAAAGGGAATACCCTAAAAAGCACCATCGGGCCTCTTTAAGCTAAATATACCATGTCACACACACACACATACACATACACACACACACACACATACACACGCACGCACACACACACACGCGCACACACACACACACACACACACACACACACACGCACACACACACACTACTGACTTTACTTTTAACTTAATATTACATTTTCTGTTGGTTTCAAAAACATCTTCAGTCATGTCCTCCTGAGTGTAACCACACGTCACCGTGAACTCAGTTATATAACAGCAGGAGAATAACTGGATTAGCAGCTCAGTGGGAATCACAGAAAGTCTGCTTTTAGTTTTCCTCCTCTAACGTTTACGTCCACAACTTGCAAAATAAAGTTTTCCAGTTTAAAACAGCAGACATGGATTTGATCCAGTGAAGAGAGACACAGCACGGCAGGACAAAGACATGTTTCCACTTAAAGTTTTAAAGCTTTTGTCTCAGAGCCGAGTGTCACCCAGTTTTAGAGGAACCACACCCAGACTGCTGCCACATTTCACTTTGCACACACACACACGCACGCGCACACGCACACGCACACGCGCACACACACACACACACACACACACACAGGCTGACGTCAGCAGCATCACTGACAGATGGAGCTTCACCATGCTGAGGGTTCAGGGAGATCACAGCTACTGAGAGGACATGTTGAAGTAGATGTGTTTTCTGCAGCTGCTTCTCAGTGAAGACGTTTGATTTGACCACCTGCTGTGTCGAGGTGTTGACCTCCATGTTTGTTTCGTTAGAAGTGCATGGGTTCCTCCTCAACTCCTTTGTCCTCCAAATCTAATTTCTTACAAGATACATTGACATATGGGTCAGCAGATGTGTTTTTCTGCCTAGCGACAGCCGTATAAAATACATACACACACACACACACACACACACACACACACACACATATTTAAAGGCACAGTATGGCAGCTGTAATGCCCTCAGTGCTCTCTGTTGTCTGGCGTTCAGTTGCATGTTTGTATTTCCCTCTCTGGATATTGGAAAGCTTCACAAAACGCCTCCAGTAGTTTAAGAGAATGGACATTCACCAATTCATTACAGGCACCCGGGTGAAGGGACTCAGAAATCAGATGGTTTTGTTCAGAGTTGGAGGGCGTGTGAAAGCTGAAGAAAACTTGTACATTCGCAGTAGTTTCACCTTTTTAGTGAGTGCATGTTATGTGTAAAGATAAGAGCTGTAAAGATTGAATAATAAATGATTGCCATGAACTTATACTTGAGTATCGAGGAACCCTTCATGGGTTAATCAGTCTTTTTTCATGCAGAAATGAAGACACATGCCTTATCGTATGCCTTACATCCAAAGACCAAAGCAACAAACGGATAATCAGTAACTATATGATTCTCTCAAGAACGATTATCAGTTGTTTTAAAATTGGTTTAAAAATCTACATTTTCCATCACATACGTATCATTTCTTTATATATCTTAATTTTCCTTCACCTCGAGTGTTCAGCATCAGAATCAGAAACGGGTTTATCACCAGGTAGGTTGACACGTACGAGGAATTTGACTTGGTGTCGTGGTGCGTACATAAAAGTAAAAAAAAACTATATTAACATTAAAAAAATAATAGTAAAATATAGCAGCACAGAAATAGAATGAAATAAAATATGGAAAAAAATCGGCAGTAATGTTCATCCAGTGTGAGAAATAATCAATATATTGTGCCGGAACTTTAAAGTGGACCTATCATGCTATATTATAATAATATAGTGTAGGACCATACCTATATAAGGAATATTTATACTTTTTTTTTTTTCAAAATACCAAACAGATCATGCATTTTAGCCATGCCTCATTTTGCTCAATTTGAAAAATGTTAGCTCTGTTTTTGCAAGGGCTGATTCTGTGAGAACAGCACCATCTACAGGCCTGGCATATGTACTACAGCGTCTCCAGCGCTTTCGAACGGCAATGGCCGTGGCTGTCTCCTCCTGATTGGTGGAGTTGGCCCAATAGCCGTAGTGCCACCGTCCTGACGTCAGGACAGTGTTCAAATCTGGATCAGTTTTTATCAGATCCGCTGCAGCCCCTTTTTTTTAGAGATTTGGGTATGGAGGAAAATAGAGAGGGTTGTGTTTTCTGACACTTGGTGAGTTCCCTGGAACACCGGGGACACATATTCATGTATACAAGACGTACAAAAGTGCATTTTGCATGATAGGTCCCCTTTAAGGGACATCATTTACTGTAGCAGTGTTGTCCCACGGACCGGATGTGGGCGACACCTTGGAGTTCAGGTTTCAGGTTGTTATTGTTTTTAGCCTCACAGTAGCATGTAGCTAATAGTATATTGTGTATGTGAATATAAGGACGCGTGGAGTTACACACTAAACACACCGCCTCCAACTGTCACTCATCAACGCTGCATTACTACTATTATTATGTGTTTAATGAACAACACACATCAGAAGAATTGTATAATAAAATATCATAAGAGATGAGTCATGGCTACGTCATCACAGGACTACAGAAGAAGACCCGCCCCCGTCGACGTCAGCCAATGGAAGAAGACTTAATACGAGTGGGAACATATAAATAAGATGTTTGATAGAGAAACGGTCTCTTTTATTCATGCACCTGTAGATAGCTAACTGCTCATGTGGACTAAGGACCAGTGAATTGAATAATGAACCTCTGCTGTGTTCCCTTGTAAACTTACTATACTATTGCATTAATTAACTTTTCGAGAAGCTTCCTGGTCTTCTTTAGACCAACTCTTGGTCTTCAAAACAAGAATACCTGACACCAGCCATGCTAATGAAAGGGTGAACTTCCTGTCTGCAGGTTATGACTTCACGGAGGTCTTGCGGTGGTTTGGAGAGCGCGTGGATCGGATCATCCTGCTGTTCGACGCTCACAAACTGGACATCTCTGACGAGTTCTCCGAAGCCATCCGAGCCTTCAAAGGACAAGACGACAAGATCCGGGTCGTCCTCAACAAGGCCGACCAGGTGAGAGGGCGAAGAGAGGGATCAATACATCTGATTGGATTTGATTTTGAATGTGTAAAACAATAATACACAAAATTATGATAATGAAATGAAACATGAGAATTATACTATACAAACTTAAGCAGTGTCAAATTGATAAACAAATAAACTACACATCCGAAAAGGAGTGGGAGGAGTTTTTGTTCTCCCAAAAACTAAATTATCAACATATACAACAAATAAATAAACAAACAAATTCATGAAAGAGGTAAACGGTAATCAAGAAAAGATAAAATAACAAGCTAAATAAATAAATCGTTAACACCCAATGATTAAACACTTTCATCCCTTCACATGAAGCCATTGAGTTACAGATTAACCTCCTCTCCCTCACCTGCCAGGTGGACACGCAGCAGCTCATGAGGGTTTACGGCGCCCTCATGTGGTCGCTGGGGAAAGTGATCAATACTCCGGAGGTGGTGAGAGTCTATCTGGGATCCTTCTGGGCCAAACCTCTGCAGAACACTGAGAACAGGTCAGATATTCACTCATTCATCCATATATTCATTAATTGATTCAGAAAATGATCCATTCCTTCATTCATTCATGTTATTCATTCACACAGAGAACAGATGTATTTTTTTTATTCTTTCACTTATGTTTCTCCTCGTTAACTAATTCACTCGTTCACTCCCCAGGCGTCTGTTTGAGGCGGAGTCTCAGGATCTCTTTAAGGACATCCAGAGTCTCCCGAGGAACGCGGCGCTGCGTAAACTGAACGACCTCATCAAGAGGGCGCGGCTGGCCAAGGTGAGGCAGGAAGTCACGTGTTGTGTTTGGAGTTTAACACCCAGAGACCTTTTTAGTTGAAACACTAATAACTCCCATTCGTCCTGGAATGTTTGGTTGTGTTTCAAAAACAGAACGAGGGCCGGAAATTTGAACACTCTGGTTTCAGAAGAAGTTAGATCAGGGGTGTCCAACTCAATTTCATCGCGGGCCACATTGGAATTATGGTTGCACTCAAAGGGCCGGTTGTAACTTTAAGACTATATAAATATTTAATATATATAAACGTATGTATTATATTACATGATTGCCTCTGCATTGGATTATTATCAGATAGGGTAATAACTTCATAATTAACTACGTCTGAAAGCAGAAGTCTACGGCAAATAATTGCAAGTCTCTTCGGTGAGAATGTCACAAAATGATTTTAAAAGAAAAGCCAAATTCTGGAGAAAAAAGTCAAAATCAAACAAAGGGAAATTTGGGGGGAAAAAAGTAACATTTTGAGAAAAAGTGAAATTCTAAGAAAAAAGGCATATTTTGAAGAAAAACTGTCAAATTCTGAGAAAAAAGGCATATTTTGAAGAAAAAAAGTCAAATGTGAGATGCATTGTGGGACATGTAGTTTATGGGCAACGTGCTTCTGTAAATCAGCATGTAACTGTATAATAAACATATGATATTCTTTCAGAGCTCTTGTGAGGCCGCATGAAATGAAGTCATGGGCCGGATTTGGCCCCCGGGCCTTGAGTTTGACCCCCCTGAGTTAGATGATTCAGTTTAATCTCTGAGCATTCAGTACAGACAGTGAAGGGGTTAGCCTGCATTCATTCATTGTTTTATTCATTCATTCAAAAGTTCAGAAACATGCATTCATTCATTTACTTTTTGCTAATTGATTAATTGATACAAAAAACACTTAAAGGTGGGGTAGGTAAGTTTGGAGAAACCAGCTCGAGATCGCTAGAATTTGAAAATACACAACCGGAGAAAATCTGCCACTTCCTCACAGAGCCCCTCCTCCAACACACACGAACGCGCACATGACCAATGAGGGCACGAGATAAGTTTGTGCACAGATGGAAGGCTGACAGGCAGGTAGGCCATCCAGTTATTTTAGCCGGGCCGGCTCAGATGATTGGTCGTGCTTTTTACAGTACCACGGCTTCCACTGATGATATTTATTTATGGATTTGTTGTCAAAGCACTTCAGATATTCATTGCTATCGGGATGTTAAGAGCATTCCATGGAATATAACAACAAGTGTATCTCGAGCCGGTTTCTCAAACTTACCTACCCCACCTTTAAACAGGTCGTCAGATATCACACATGCATTTATAATAGTTCATTTTTGTGGTCATTTATTCATTACATTACATTACATTGCATTTAGCTGAGGCTTTTATCCAAAGCGACTTACAATAAGTGCATTCGACCAAGAAGATACAAACTAGAAGAAAACAGAATCATATAAGTACATCAGGTTTCATAGAGCTAAAACATTTCAAGTGCTACTCAACTAGCTTTAGATAAGCCAGTCCTTTGTTAGTATATTACAGGACATGTTACTTGTTAGACGCTTTTATCCAAAGCGACTAACATACTCAATACTGTGGGTAATCCCCACAGGAGCAATTTGGGGTGAAGTGTCTCAGGGACACAACGACACGCTGACTACATCATTCAGTCATTTGAAAAACTCCATGTTTCTGAAAGTCTGCAGTTCAGTGTTTGAGTCCGTGTTACAAAGTGTTTTCACTTACTTTTACTTTGAAGAGCAAGCTGTGCAAATTAGACTAAGTTGGAAAACAGAAGTGAGATGTAAAATAGAAGAAGGAGAAATGTATCTTAAACTTCTGACACATGACTCATAGAAACTGATCCTCTGGCTTTAAACTGAACTCAAGAACTTTGGAGTTTATTTCTTCTGAGGTCGAAAGGAAGCTCTGAATAATAAGACAGCAGTGAGTTAGAGATGTTAGCGTGTGAAAGCTGAGGGAGCTCCATCAGTGTTTGGAGGTAAATGTTTCTGTTGTTCAACCTTCAGGAAAACCTGTTTTAGTTTTTCTTTGTGATGGTTGTTTATAGTTCTGACAAACATACTCAGGCCCCACGCAAAGTTATATGATGAGGCCCTCTGTTTCGCGAGCGTCGACGATGACGACGGGGGGTGCTAGTGGAACCGTGCCGCGCCGCATAAGCGCATAGGTGCGCCGCATTTTCGGCTTAGTTGAGGCACCGTCCGCAAGATGAGGCCCCACGCCGTCTGCATGTTCGGCCTGTAGGGATGGACGGCCCTGTACATACTGATTGTTTGTTTCTTTTTTCGTCGTTATGCGTCTCTTTGTAGTAATTTGTTCGTATTTTATCATATTTTTAAGTCTATCTGAGGTCGTTTTGTGTCTATTTTAGTCGCTTTTTAGTTTTTACTAAAGGCCCCGGACACACCGGGCTCGATTTTCGGCCGTCGATAGATGTCTGGCCGTTGATGAGCGTCCTGTCGCCCCTACTCAGATTGGTGTGTCCCGCACCGTCGTGTCTTTTCGGGCCGTGCCGACACCTTCCGGAGGCTGTCGGCAAAATAAATCACTCTGATTGGCTGTTCAGCTCAGCGAATCAGTGCATGAGAAGCGAAACGGGAAGTGAAGAAGGCACACAGACGGCTATTATTTTTCATTTTCCAGTACCCGCACTAAACATGTTTTCGATTATAAGTCGTTATGTGAAACAGTCTGTGATGGAACGAGAGTGAAAATGGAACGCACGCTATTTGTTGTTTGTATATATCACGCAGTCTGTTCTTCTTCTCTCGGTTGTATCACGCACATCTGTCTTCCGGTTGCCTCTTTTGAATGACGAATACACACTACCGCCGCCTGCTGGTAAGGAGAGTTATTGCCACTCACGCATGCGCAGTTCGTACGTGCTACTTGGTCGTCGGCTGACTGAAGTCTTTGCGGTGTGTTCCAGTGCGACACATGGCCAAGACGCAGAGACGTGAGGCGACACAACAGTCAAGTCCGTCGGGACGTGTTCTTTGGTGTCAGTTTGGGTTGGTGTCAGTTGGTGTCAGTTTGGGTGTCAGTTTGGTGTCAGTTTGGTTGTGTCAGTTTGGTGTGTCAGTTTGGTGTGTCAGTTTGGTGTCAGTTTGGTGTCAGTTTGGAGTCAGTTTGGTGTCAGTTTGGTGTCAGTTTGGTGTCAGTTTGGTGTCAGTTTGGTGTCAGCTTGGTGTCAGTTTGGTGTCAGCTTGGTGTCAGTTTGGTGTCAGTTTGGTGTCAGCTTGGTGTCAGTTTGGTGTCAGTTTGGTGTCAGTTTGGTGTCAGCTTGGTGTCAGTTTGGTGTCAGTTTGGTGTCAGTTTGGTGTCAGTTTGGTGTCAGCTTGGTGTCAGCTTGGTGTCAGTTTGGTGTCAGTTTGGTGTCAGTTTGGTGTGTCAGGGCCTTAACAGTTTTGTTTCCTTGTGGTCGTTTTGAGACCCTTTTAGTATCCGGTTGTTGTCTTTTTTTAACCCTTTAAGCCCTGTTTTTTATGCTTCCTTGTGGCAATTTTGAATTTCTTCCTCGTGTAACATGTTGTAGGGGAAGAGGAGGAAGGCCCCTCACACTTTGGGCCCCTGGTAGTCCGTTCAGTAATCCCTCCACACTGGTGTCATATTATTGGGACGCTCCCACAGTGCATGTGGGGGTTAAAGTTAAGCTGTAATAAATTACTTTGAGCAAACAAATATCTTTTAAAACGTTCCCTCCCTGGCTCATCAATCAGATCGCATTTTTCTTCCTGATAAAATATTGATGAATGACACTAACGCTCATAAATCCACTGACCTCAACCCCTCCCTCTCACCTCCTTTCCTTACTCACTTCCTTCCTTCGATGAGGAGGTGTTCTGCTGTGTGACAGGAAAATAAGCTTATAAAACTATGAGATATAAAATACACAATACGTTATGTCTTATATCTTATGAGATATCAAGTCTAGTTTCGACACTTCAATTCAAATATATCAGATATTACCTCAAACTTTGATTTCTTACCAAATCAAATGTATGATTTATAATGTCAAATTCTTACTTTTTAAATCAAATTTGCAATTTTAAGTCCCGAAATGCAATTTTTTACATCAAATGTTTGAGATATAAAAATAAATTCTGACTTTTAAAATCAAATTGGAGATATTTAGTCCAAATCTTCACTTTTTTATTCAAATATATGAGATACTAAGGATAATGTTTGACTATATAAGTGACCATTATGAGATATTAAGCCTAATTAAGAACGTTTAAATCCAGTTGTATGAGACATTAAGTTAAATGTAAGACTTTTTTTAATGAAATCTAAATGTTTTGAGTCATATTTAAGGAACTAAGTCATTAAGATGTAAGATTAGGTGAAACTCACGAGACAGAAAGTGATTAGATGTTATTTTACCTGTCCTCCTTCTGTCTGTGTTGACTTCCTGTCTGAGCTGCGATTGAGGAAGCTGTTTTATAAACATTACTGTTGTTGAAACGAAGCTCTGCCAAGGTCTGATCTGTGTGTGTGTGGTGGTGGGTGTGTGTGTGTGTGTGTGTGTGTGGTGTGTGTGTGTGTGTGTGTGTGTGTGTGTGTGTGTGTGTGTGTGTGGTGTGTGTGTGTGTGTGTGTGTGTGTGGTGTGTGTGTGTGTGTGTGTGTGTGTGTGTGTGTGTGTGTGTGTGTGTGTGTGTGTGTGTGTGTGTGTGTGGTGTGTGTGTGTGTGTGTGTGTGTGTGTGTGTGTGTGTGTGTGTGTGTGTGTGTGTGTGTGTGTGTGTGTGTGTGTGTGTGTGTGTGTGTGTGTGTGTGTGTGTGTGTGTGTGTGTGTGTGTGTGTGTGTGGCCCCGTATCTCGAGGAACAGTCACGTTTCTGTTACTGAAGTTGGAAAGATAAAAGCAACGACTTATCTAAAGAGAGTGGTGCAGGAATGAGTCCTAAAACCCGGATATGAGTCAGCATTTTACCACTTCCGGTTCCCTTGTGTCGGAATCAATGTTTTTTTTGTGTGTTTTTGGATGGATATGATCACACAAGCTGAAGAGATTCTCATGTTTTCTTCTACGACATCAAATACGTCAGTTAATACCCCACTGGTGAATTTAAAAACATTGGTTGATAACAAGTGTCTAAATGAGACGACTAAACGTCATCACGCCCAACATTAGCCGCCTTTAGCTTAGCGGTGGTGATGTGAAGTCATGTGACCGTGCTGTAGTTCCTTTATAGCCCAACATTAGCCACCTTTAGCTTAGCGGTGGTCACGTGAAGTCATGTGACCGTGCTGTAGTTCCTTTATAGCCCAACATTAGCCACCTTTAGCTTAGCGGTGGTGACGTGAGTCATGTGACCGTGCTGTAGTTCCTTTATAGCCCAACATTATCCGCCTTTAGCTTAGCGGTGGTGACGTGAAGTCATGTGACCGTGCTGTAGTTCCTTTATAGCCCAACTTTAGCTTAGCGGTGGTGACGTGAAGTCATGTGACCGTGCTGTAGTTCCTTTATAGCCCAACATTAGCCGCCTTTAGCTTAGCGGTGGTGACGTGAAGTCATGTGACCGTGCTGTAGTTCCTTTATAGCCCAACATTAGCATCCTTTAGCTTAGCGGTGGTGACGTGAAGTCATGTGACCGTGCTGTAGTTCCTTTATAGCCCAACATTAGTCGCCTTTAGCTTAGCGGTGGTGAAGTCATGTGACCGTGCTGTAGTTCCTTTATAGCCCAACATTAGCATCCTTTAGCTTAGCGGTGGTGACGTGAAGTCATGTGACCGTGCTGTAGTTCCTTTATAGCCCAACATTAGCCACCTTTAGCTTAGCGGTGGTGACGTGAAGTCATGTGACCGTGCTGTAGTTCCTTTATAGCCCAACATTAGCCAACTTTAGCTTAGCGGTGGTGACGTGAAGTCATGTGACCGTGCTGTAGTTCCTTTATAGCCCAACATTAGCCGCCTTTAGCTTAGCGGTGGTGACGTGAAGTCATGTGACCGTGCTGTAGTTCCTTTATAGCCCAACATTAGCCAACTTTAGCTTAGCGGTGGTGATGTGAAGTCATGTGACCGTGCTGGTAGTTCCTTATAGCCCACATTAGCCACCTTTAGCTTAGCGGTGGTGACGTGAAGTCATGTGACCGTGCTTGTAGTTCCTTTATAGCCCAACATTAGCCAACTTTAGCTTAGGCGGTGGTGACGTGAAGTCATGTGACCGTGCTGTAGTTCCTTTATAGCCCAACATTAGCCGCCTTTAGCTTAGCGGTGGGTGACGTGAAGTCATGTGACCGTGCTGTAGTTCCTTTATAGCCCAACATTAGCCAACTTTAGCTTAGCGGTGGTGACGTGAAGTCATGTGACCGTGCTGTAGTTCCTTTATAGCCCAACATTAGCCGCCTTTAGCTTAGCGGTGGTGACGTGAAGTCATGTGACCGTGCTGTAGTTCCTTTATAGCCCAACATTAGCCAACTTTAGCTTAGCGGTGGTGACGTGAAGTCATGTGACCGTGCTGTAGTTTCTTTATAGCCCAACATTAGCCACCTTTAGCTTAGCGGTGGTGACGTGAAGTCATGTGACCGTGCTGTAGTTCCTTTATAGCCCAACATTAGCCGCCTTTAGCTTAGCGGTGGTGACGTGAAGTCATGTGACCGTGCTGAAGTTCCTTATAGGCTACTTTTGGAGATTGCATTTACGCTTTAAAAAGTGGTGTTAATATGTGGACATGCTGAACACGACTTGTAAAGTATCATAAACGTGTGTTTGCCACAGAGCTTATTTTCTGCAATGTTCAAAACTCAAATGGAAAACTCCCATTGCTTTTTGTCGAGGGAGGCCTAGTAATGCTAACTTCTAGTTCAGCCTTCACAAATATATCACCAATGATATAGTTATAGTTAGTTGACTTAATGTGGGACTGTTCCTTTAACCACCAACAGATTTTGGTTGATAATTAGTGAATCCAGAATTATGTTGATGTTCTTTGATTGACATCCACTTCTTCTTCTTCTTCCTCCCGCAGGTGCACGCCTACATCATCAGCCACCTGAAGAAGGAGATGCCGTCTCTGTTTGGGAGAGAGAAGAAGAAGGAGGAGCTGATCATGAGGCTGCCTGAGATCTACACCCACCTGCAGAGAGAGCACCACATCAGCCCCGGAGACTTCCCCAACGTCACCAAGATGCAGGTACAGAAACACACACAGCCACATCACAGCTGCAAAAGGAAATATCGGTTTTAGTTTGAAAACAGGTGATGTTTTCCCGTTGATATCAAAATAGCACTTGCATGATTCTTATGGACAAAAACTTACATGGTTGTTAATACTTATACTTATTTTTACTTGAGTAGGATTATGAGTACATTACTTTTTTGTGTGGTATTAGGACTTTTACCCAAGTAAAAGGTACTTTTTTCTACATAGAGGCGATTAGATATATACTTTATTGATTTAAAATTGACAAACATTGTTATGGTACATCAGCATGTTTGCAAGGCATTGAATTGAGGTACAAATGTAATACAAATAAATCAAAGACAGCCAAATTACACATATTACCAGTAAAGAAATACAGTATTGATAAAATACACTATATAATAATACAAAATAAGTTCAAATACACTATAAAAGACCAAGCTATTACTTAAAGGGGACCTATCATGCAAAATGCACTTGTGTACGTCTTTTCTACATGAATATGTGTCCCCGGTGTTCCAGGGAACTCACCAAGTGTCAGAAAACACAACCCTCTCTATTTTCCTCCATACCCAAATCTCTAAAAAAGGGGCTGCAACGGATCTGATAAAAACTGATCCAGATTTGAACACTGTCCTGACGTCAGGACGGTGGCGCTACGGCTATTGGGCCAACTCCACCAATCAGGAGGAGACAGCCACGCCCATTGCCGTTCCAAAGCGCTGGAGACGCTGTAGTACATATGCCAGGCCTGTAGGTGGTGCTGTTCTCACTGAATCAGCCCTTGCTAAAACAGGGGTAAAAAAGTGCAAATTGAGCGAAATGAGGCATGGCTAAAATGCATGATCTGTTTGGTATTTTGAAAAAAAAAAAAAGTATAAATATGCCTTATATAGGTATGGCCCTACACTATATTATTCAAATATAGCATGATAGGTCCACTTTAAATAGGGCGGTGGTGGCGAAGTCCATAGGGACTTGGCTTGGCAACTGGAAGGTCACCAGTTCAAGTCCCGGAAAGACCAAGTGCTACCGAGGTGTCCCTGAGCAAGGCACCGTTCCCTACACTGCCCCCCGGGCGCTGTACATAATGGCAGCCCACTGCTCCTAACACTAGGATGGGTCAAATGCAGAGAGACCGTTTCGTTACATAGCACCTGTACTACGTAATGACAATAAGTTGAATCTTCAATCTTCTTCAAATCATATTCGATTATTATTTGTGCAGCTGGATGTCATGTTTTTCTGGCTGAACTTTAGCAAACAGTCGGAGAACAAAATGTTATTCTCAGATGAGGGTAAACATATTTTTACTGATGTCAGAGGAACATCACACTTTCACTCTGCAGCTGCTGTCAGGCCTGTAGAGATGCTGCAGGTGTGTGTGTGTGTGTGTGTGTGTGTGTGTGTGTGTGTGTGTGTGTGTGTGTGTGTGTGTGTGTGTGTGTGTGTGTGTGTGTGGTGTGTGTGTGTGTGTGTGTGTGTGTGGTGTGTGTGTGTGGTGTGTGTGTGTGTGTGTGTGTGTGTGTGTTGTGTGTGTTTGGTGTGTTGTGTGTTGTGTGTGTGTGTGTGTGTGTGTGGTGTGTGTGCTGTGTGTGTGTGTGTGTGTGTGTGTGTGTGTGTGTGTGTGTGTGTGTGTGTTGTGTGTTGTGTGTGTGTTTGATGTTGTGTGTGTTTGTGTTGGTGTGTGTGTGTGTGTGTGTGTGTGTGTGTGGTGGTTTGTCGTGGTGTTTTTATTGGCGAGAGTGGATTTTGAGATTTTTCAGTTCCCTGTTGAGATGTGTATTCTCAAGACACACACACAAGCACACACAGCCACGTGTTGTTAGTATCTGTATGTGTGTGTGTGTGTGTTGAGAGGTCAGAGGTCAGCAGAGAACACTGTGTGCAGCTGCAGATCTGCTCAGGCTCATCATGTGACTATCAGAGGTGATGATTTAAGCTGTTTTTAAAATAGTGTATTATGATTTAGAAGTAGGACATCTAAAGGAAGACTTATTCCTTTTGTTTATCACAAAGCATCTAAATAACATATCTAGAGATACATGGTTTAAGATAAAAAAAACGAACTAAAGCTGTCAAGTAAAAAGTACCCTTTCCCCCTTAGATGTAGTGGAGTCTAAGTATAAAGTAACATAACATGTAAATATTAAGACAAAATACCTGGAATTTCTACTTTATTTCACTGCAAAACTTCATTAACTCACTCAAGTTTTTGGGTTTATCTTAGTTTTTTGGCGCCACCTGTCTGTGACACGAGGAACTGCAACAAATATTACATTACATTACATGTTAGACGCTTTTATCCAAAGAGACTTACATACTCAATACTGTACGGTTACCTTGGTGCTGATTGGATAATGGTTACTCAAGCCAAAACATCGTTATGACATCATCAAGTGGCCAAAATCTGATCAGCTCATTTTCAGACAGGTTTTTATAAGTTTGTAGAAGAGACATGAAGAAGAGGGGACACATGTTGATGTAGAAGAGACATGAAGAAGAGGGGACACATGTTGATGTAGAAGAGACATGAAGAAGAGGGGACACATGTTGATGTAGAAGAGACATGAAGAAGAGGGGACACATGTTGATGTAGAAGAGACATGAAGAAGAGGGGACACATGTTGATGTAGAAGAGACATGAAGAAGAGGGGACACATGTTGATGTAGAAAATACTTTTTGCATAATAGGTGACCTTTAACATGTTTTCTGTCTTCTCCTCCAGGACATGTTGCAGCACTACGACTTCAGTAAGTTCCCGTCTATGAAAATAAAACTCATCGAGTCTGTGGACAAGATGTTGGCCACGAAGATCGCCGGCCTGATGACGATGATCCGCGACGAAGAGTCCAAAGCGCCTCCGGTCCTCGTGTCGGGCGGCGCCTTCGAGGGCTCCCAGGACGGGCCGTTCGGTCACGGGTACGGAGAGGGAATCTGCGCCGGAGCGGACGCGGAGGACTGGATCGTGAGCCGCGAGAAGCACCGCTACGACGAGATCTTCTACATGCTGATGCCCGTCAACGGCAAGATCACCGGCGTCAACGCCAAGAAGGAGATGATGAACTCGCGGCTGCCCAACACGGTGCTGGGGAAGATCTGGAAGCTGGCCGACTGCGACAAGGACGGCATGTTGGACGACGAGGAGTTTGCGCTCGCTCAGCATCTTATGAAGGTCAAACTGGAGGGATACGAGCTGCCCAGCGAGCTGCCTGATCACCTGGTGCCGCCGTCACACCGCAAAAACCCCGACGCGGAGGCACTGTACAACAACAGTGAGGACTAGAGCGCGGAGAGGGAAACGGAAGAAGACTGACTGAGCTGAGAGGAAGTCCAAATGTACAAAATCACCAGCTGATATTCAGACTAACTATCAGCCAACTGACAGAAGAGATGGTCGAATTCAATGTTTAGGATTTACTCACCGAGGAATCCAATCACCTGCTAATCGCACAGTCAAATGTATAAACCAATTAATGGCGTTAGGAAGTCAAAACGAAATATAAGATGTATCTATATTGTACAATTCAGCTGATCTCAATGCACCAAAGAGGAAATAAGATCATGTAGACGTATATTTTACGAGTCTTTATTGTGACACTTAACTTTCCCGCCCCTTAACGACTGAGTGAGCTGAGAGGAAGTCCAAATGTACAAAAGCACCAGCTGATCTTCAGACTAACAGGAGACACTATCAGCAAGGTTTAGCATTGACTCACCGATGCATCAACTCAGCTGCTAATCACTCCTTTAAAGGTCCCATGTCATGCTTCTCTCTGTATCGCCGACCCGGAAACCACACCGGTAAGCCAGCTCACTGAGCAGCGAGCCTCGCAACGTCCCGACCAATCAGAGCACAGTGGGCTCACAGGGAGGGGGGGCAGGAGCTCCAACAAGCCGTGTAGGACAGAGAGTGAATACACATACTATACAGAGATGCTGTTTGAGAAACCAATGTGAGTTTGGAACATTGAACAATGTACATCTATTCTAGTAGACCTCAACAATGGAACTATGATCAGTAGAAATGGCCGTGACATGGGACCTTTAAATAAATAAACAACACAAAATAACTAAATAATATGGGAAGCTTTTACATTGGTAACATATATAGATATATATGGTGTAGATTTCAGTTCACCAAAGAAGAAAAAAGATAATGTAACCTCGTCATTAACGTTCATTTGGATTCTTATTTTGAAGGAATAAGAGAGTGATTTTTAACTTCCTGAATTCATTGTGTCTAAATGACACAATGGTCCACAAACACAAAGATATTTGGTATTTTTAGGCAAAATCTAAATATTTTATTACATTTTCTTTGTGGTTTTATTCCAATTTTAAAACAGCCAAGTGAAGAAAACATCGTTGTCAGTTGTACCCAGGATATGTTTAATGGTTTTAACATTGTAAATGGACTGTACTTATATAGCGCTTATCCAGTCTTTAAGATCCCTCAAAGCGCTTTACATACCACACGTCATTCACCCATTCACACAGAGCAGTGCACCTTACTCTAGGACCTAACATTCACACACCGTTGGCCATCAGGAGCAACTCAGGGTTAAGTATCTTGCCCAAGGATACATCGACATGTTGACTGCATGGGCTGGGATCGAACCCACAACCTTCTGGTTGAAAGACGACCGCACCCCCTCGCAGCCACAGTCGCCCCAAAATAAGTCAACAAGTTATATAAAACTGTCATTATGTGATTTCTCGAAGGCACAGTTACTGTTTTAATGTGTTTTTAGAATGAAATCCTTCAAAATACAATACAATACAACACAGTTTCAAACACTTTAAAACCTCCAGACCAAAGCGCTGTGCAGTCAAATAAACAAACAAATCACACAGCATCTTAAAAGCAATAAAAGCAACACTCTAAAAGATGTCAATGCGCTCAGGAGAAGAGCTTTGGAACTTCAGGATCAAAACAAAACCCAGAATTCAGGAAATCACAGAAACTCAACGAGATCCTGAGTCGTCTCTGCGTCGATGTTTCAGAGCAGGAAGCGGTTACTGTTTGGCTCGGAGTCAGGACGGGGGCGGGGGGTCAGGGGTCGTCAGAGCTCAGAGTCTGTCCTGTTTGAACAGATCTCAGTCCGGAGGAAGGGACACTCGCTCGGCCGCCGTTCCCTCGTCCTGAGGGACTACTTAACGACGTCCTGAAACAGCCCTCAGTCTGTGTTTCCTCATGGTGTAAAAAACAACGGAATAACATGTTGAAGAGAGGACGCTCCGGTCCAACTGAACTGTCCAAGAAATACAAAGCAGGAAAATACAGCATATGGCAAAAAGTACATAGATACAATTTCACTGGTTTCAAACTATGGCTGCACAATTTATCTAAATGTTATCGAAATTGTGCAAAAATCACAACATGTGTTAAAATACATATTGAAAGTATTGTGGAGTTTCAGAGATATTCTACAGACCTATTTGTTTGGTACAGATCCTATTCACATCATAGCCCGTTAATATTAAACAATTGCAATATCCGCCAAAATGATTACAAATGTTGAAACAGCGAGTTAGCCGTGTGGGGGAGACTTCTGTAGCGATGGAGAGTCAGGACTCAGAGAGAGAGACACGAGGAGAGCTGGAGCTTTGATGGAGTCAGGACTCAGAGAGAGAGACACGAGGAGAGATGGAGCTTTGATGGAGTCAGGACTCAGAGAGAGACGAGGAGAGCTGGAGCTTGATGGCAAACACTGACGGTTTTATTTGGACTTCGGCCGGAGAATTCCCAAGACCATGTCACGGGCCACGGTCCTGACCACACGGTAGAGATGCACCGTCAATTCTGAAGAGCCTCCTGTAGCTCCAGGTTTTTGAACTAGTTCAGAGTGTAATAATCAACATTCTTCAATAGAGAGACTAAACAGCTGAGGACACTGAATCACATTTGTTGTCGCTTATGGCTCGAGGTCATCTACGCCCCGAGAAGGATGTGTTCCAGGTGTCCCACAACAATAACTATCTCTGACCGAGAGCTGCCTGGTCACAAACTGGTAACAACAACAACTTGCTAGGGCAGCTCCTCCTTATGGGAGATAACGGCTGCTCAAGGGTTAGGGCATCTGCGTCAGAGGGCGAGAGGTAAACACGTATACAGAATGATTCCCTGACAAGCCGTACATGCTAACATAAACACATTGTTTAATCCATTCCTTACAGTTTTGCTCTTGTTTTCCTGGTTTTTTAAAGGTTAAACAACAAAAAACAGTGCAGATGAGCTTTGTTTTGAGCATGTGGAGAAATCCAAACACTTGCACATGTAGTTGCAGCTGCTCAGCTAATATTGGATCGGAGAAACATTACATCACATGTTACTTGTTAGACGCTTTTATCCAAAGCGACTTACATACTCAGTACTGTGGACAATCCCCACAGGAGCAACTTGGAGTGAAGTGTCTTGCCCAGGGATCTGAACACCAACGCACTACCCACTGCGCCACACGCCTCCCAACATCCAAACATCACCTTTCTTACTATTTCCTCTCAAAAAGTTTCCCTTTTCTGAACAAAGCACCGGCCTGCCTTCCATTGACCTCAGATCTAGATGATCGCTGGAAGACATGTATTTAGACTGAATTTGAGGAATACTTGTACAGTTCTTGTAACACACACACAGTGTTTCTTCAGTCTGTAACCATCCCTCCAGTTTCTCCTAATGTTTTCCCTCGTGCTTCAACTTGAGCCAACTGGACCAAATCTTCTTTTTTTAAATGCTGTTAGAAGTGATCTTAAAAGTGCGTATTTTAAGATCTTGCAGTGCCTTTTCATTTCAATACGTGATGCCCTTTGTTCTTATGACAGGACGTTAGAAGTCTTTGAGGATTTAGCACCGGGCGGCTTCTGTTCTGTGCCTTTCAATTGCAAAAACAAATTGACAAATCTCAGTGAAGCGTAGCAAATAAACTCCTTGTGCATTTATTCTCTCCATAAGGGAATGTGTGTCAAGTCCTCAGTCCTCTCTGTCTCTGATTAAATGTCCGTAAAGTACAGAATTGTATTGTATAAACGTGTGGAATCAGCTGTCTGGTGGTTTAGGGAGCCTCGACAGAGCGGGATGATTCTGTTTCCTCTCAGTCTGACTTTAATCAAAAATCTTCATTTACCTGAAAAGTTTTTATTTTTGTGATTTTTATGTATTTTGTATTCCTGTTGTCAGAAGTTACTCTGTTCTGATGATCTCAGACTAATAAAGTTTATTCTACTGTACTCAACATGTTCTGTAAAGTTTTTATTTTCTACTTACTGAACATTAAAGCATGGACACATGTCCCAGTAGAGACACTACATACAAAAGTGAACTTGAAAATGAGTAGAATAATTCATTCTTCCTCGACGTTTATCTAACAGCTCACAGTTACTTTTAGATTCAGTTGTTACACACAAAATATATAAAATGATCACTAATCGGAATGTTTTTTAATCAGTTTAAAGCAGGGGTGTCAAACTCAAGGCCCGGGGGCCAAATCCGGCCCGCCACTTCATTTTATGTGGCCCCACAAGAGTTTGCAAAGAATATAATAAGTGTATTATAATGTTACGTGCCGCTTTACAGGAGAACGTTGCCCATAAACTACATGTCCCACAATGCATCTCATTGTGTGACATGCGCAATGAAGAGACTTGCAATTATTTCCCCTAGACTTCTGCTTTCAGATGTAGTTAATTATGAAGTTATTACCCTATCCGATAATAATCCACATTATTTTATATTTATTATGTATATTTATTATCTATGTATATTATTGATATAGTCTTAAAGTTACCACCGGCCCTTTGAGTGCAACCATAATTCTAATGTGGCCCGCGATGAAATTGAGTTTGACAACCCTGGTTTAAAGTATTCTTCAGAGTGGGAGGCATGTCTTTACGTATCTTAGACAACATTGCAGCTATAAATGAATGATTTGATCAACAGCTTTCTCTCTTTCCTCACCAGAAGTTGGCTCTGTGGATGTTTTCTATTTTAAAAGAATCCAATAGCAGTTTTAATTCACCTTAACTTTCCACTGAAACCTGTCTCCAATGTGTGTTTTTTCTAAAGGACACACACTGTTACATAACGTCCTGTTTCAGGTCGTGCTGGCAGGGTTAAGGATGGACGTCGTGTCATTAATCATATTCCCGACAGGAAGCGTTCCTCCCTGCTTTTCCTCTCCAGCTTTGTTTTCTTTGTGTACATTACCATTCTGTGAATAATAAATCATGAATACATTATTCAGTTTCCGATGTTTAACTCAGCGGGTCAGCATGAAAGATTTTTCCTACAGCTTTTCAGATTATAGGACCATTGATGTGTTTTTAAAGAGTCCTCTTCTGCTGATGTTCAGGTGTATATCAGTATGTAGTGTCTCTACTTTAAAGAGTCCTCTCCTGCTGATGTTCAGGTGTATATCAGTATGTAGTGTCTCTACTTTAAAGAGTCCTCTGCTGCTGATGTTCAGGTGTATATCAGTATGTAGTGTCTCTACTTTAAAGAGTCCTCTCCTGCTGATGTTCAGGTGTATATCAGTATGTAGTGTCTCTACTTTAAAGAGTCCTCTTCTGCTGATGTTCAGGTGTATATCAGTATGTAGTGTCTCTACTTTAAAGAGTCCTCTTCTGCTGATGTTCAGGTGTATATCAGTATGTAGTGTCTCTACTTTAAAGAGTCCTCTCCTGCTGATGTTCAGGTGTATATCAGTATGTAGTGTCTCTACTTTAAAGAGTCCTCTGCTGCTGATGTTCAGGTGTATATCAGTATGTAGTGTCTCTACTTTAAAGAGTTCTCTCCTGCTGATGTTCAGGTGTATATCAGTATGTAGTGTCTCTACTTAAAGAGTCCTCTCCTGCTGATGTTCAGGTGTATATCAGTGTGTAGTGTCTCTACTTTAAAGAGTCCTCTCCTGCTGATGTTCAGGTGTATATCAGTATGTAGTATCTCTACTTTAAAGAGTCCTCTCCTGCTGATGTTCAGGTGTATATCAGTATGTAGTGTCTCTACTTTAAAGAGTCCTCTCCTGCTGATGTTCAGGTGTATATCAGTGTGTAGTGTCTCTACTTTAAAGAGTCCTCTCCTGCTGATGTTCAGGTGTATATCAGTATGTAGTGTCTCTACTTTAAAGAGTCCTCTCCTGCTGATGTTCAGGTGTATATCAGTATGTAGTGTCTCTACTTTAAAGAGTCCTCTCCTGCTGATGTTCAGGTGTATATCAGTATGTAGTGTCTCTACTTTAAAGAGTCCTCTCCTGCTGATGTTCAGGTGTATATCAGTATGTAGTGTCTCTACTTTAAAGAGTCCTCTCCTGCTGATGTTCAGGTGTATATCAGTATGTAGTGTCTCTACTTTAAAGAGTCCTCTCCTGCTGATGTTCAGGTGTATATCAGTATGTAGTGTCTCTACTTTAAAGAGTCCTCTCCTGCTGATGTTCAGGTGTATATCAGTATGTAGTGTCTCCATGCTTTAATGTTCAAAAAGCTCTTTATTTGTCTCTGTGCTGCAGCACCTCTTTTCACCCTCTGTCTGAAACCAGAGCTCAGTCTACAGGAGAGGGAAAACCACAAAAAGCATAATAGAGGCTCTTTAAACTTTCATAAAACTCTTCTTATTAAAGACACCCGTGGCAAATTTGATTAAATTACAATCATATTTACTATATCGTTGACTTCTGTAATATAACATATTTTACTCTGACCATTGTGTGCATTGCTTCTGCTTCAGAGGAGCTGAGTTTCCCAACAGCAAGTGAACCTCATGTGAAGACACACTGAAACGTTAACCTGCTGACTGGTTTACTTTAAGAGTGTGTGTGTGGTGTGTGTGTGGTGTGTGTGTGTGTGTGTGTGTGTGTGTGTGTGTGTGTGTGTGTGTGTGTGTGTGTGTGTGTGTGTGTGTGTGTGTGTGTGTGTGTGTGTGTGTGTGTGTGTGTGTATGAATATATAATTTGTGACCCCTGCACCTGCAGTCAGGTGAGCAGAGCCGCTCATGCTGTAAATCCAATGGCTTCAAAGTTCAGACATCACATCACATGAAACACTTTCTTCTTCTTCACATGTAGAGCAGGTGGAAACAGACTCTGTGTGTTGTGTGTTTTTTATTCCAACAAATCTTTGGATCTCACTCCGTCTGACTTTCTACAGCCGAAACCATACAGAGGAACACAAGGTAAGAAAAGTCACTGTTTCCTGTCTGTGTGAATGTGCAGTAAACTCCATGAGAGCTATCAGTCGCTATGTGTCACTACATGGTGTTTTCTTCTGAGTGTGTACTAACTGGTAGTGTTTTCCTGCTTTGACATGTTTGTAGTTCTGCAGGATTTATTATCTTCAGGTTATTTTAGTCCTGTGTGATTTTGCCTCTGTTTCCATGTTGATGTTATGATATGTAAACAAACGTATGGCAGCAGGGAGATATAGTTATACGCAGGGGTGCACATAACTGGTACGCAGGTACGCATGCGCGGCAACAATCTGAAATGCGTACCGTCACTTGTGTCACAAAGCGCATTTGCATACCGACGTACTTGTGAAGCTTTTCCAGAAGGTGGTTAGATCACCGGACGAGAGTCGGTCTCCGTGTGCACAGACAGGGCTGCTGTTAACGTCGGTCTGTACAGCAGCCCTGCGCTAAAACAGCTGATCACAACGTTCACACGCTCCGCGGACATGAAGCTCTGCACTCCACTACCACCCCGCCCCCCCGTTGACAATCGCCAGAAGTTGGAGTACCAAACACTGACTCCAGGTACTCATCTGAGTACCTCACTGGGAAAGTTGTGTGCACCCCTGGTTATACGCCTATACACATGAATAGCTCTTAAAGATACAGAAAGTGAGTTTGGTAAAGTATAAGAGAGGTTAAAAGTGCAAATTACAGTTAAATGACACATTGACAAAGTCACATGTCTTCTGCATATTTTAAGTGGTAAGATAGGGCAGCAGCCGTTAGCTTAGCTTAGCATAATGACTGGAAACAAAGGGAAACAGCTAGCCTTACTTACTCTAACACTTATACCATCTTAATTCCATTTAATCCAACTTTATATATATGTAAACAGCCACACACACACATGCACACACACACACATGCACACACACACACACACACGCACACACACACATGCACACACACACACACACACACACACACACAGGTCGATGTGTCTCGTGTAATTATGACACCTCTGGTATTTTTACAGCAGTGTTGTATTGAGGGTGTGACGCTCATGTCAGCATAAAGTAAAATCTGAACTTTTGACTGGGTGAAAGTGAACTCTGAGCAGACGACCAATCAGCAGTCAGCACAAGTCAAGCATCGGCGGTTCAATTACAGAAAACGCTGCATTACATACATTGAAATCTGAATGAAGGTGTGCTAAATGCTGCATTTGTGTCCGTCTGTCCACCACTAAAGTGTAGAATGAAATATACAACTTTCTGCAGAAATGTCTGCTTTCGGAAAAGATGATTAGGTTTGGTATCTGGGGTCCATTTTATAAAATCATTCAACATTTGTTCCTTTTTTTGAACTCAGAAATGAGGTTTAATTTTGTGTAATTGAGGTTTATTTAACATATATTTAAAAAAGAAGGGTCAAACTTATGATAATAAGTAGGAATAAAGTTGCCTTAAAGGGTATAATACACATTTGGGTTATTATTTATCCTATATACTTTATAAATAGTCAAACTCAGAGGACAGAAGTTGATAGGAAGACAACACAAGGGTTAAGTAGTTGTTTGTTGAGGTATTCTGTGAAATGGCAAAAGCAATAATTGACTTATTACACTTATAATACTTGTTGTATATATCCTATGCATCCTTGTATACACTGCATTTTAATATTTGGTGTCAGACATAACTTTACACTTACATATTTTCTCTTTATAACATAACACAACACACATTTAACACCTAATATAGTCTTGTCTTTGGTTGCGTCACTTGTTTTTATATGCAATTAACTTGTTCTAATACTACCAGGGATTATAACAATGTCTCATTTCATTGTTTGAGGTAAAAGGTACCCCTGATATGTATCATTGAGACCCGTCTCTGGTGTTTCCTCTGTGTTTGCAGTAGGTCAGGATGGAGGTGCAGGAGGACGGGGCCGGGCGGGTCCGAGAGCTGCAGGAGCAGAGGATGAGCGTCCAGAAGAAAACCTTCACCAAGTGGATGAACAGCGTCTTCACCAAGAACGGGGTGAGACTGGGAGGCATGAGCAACACAAGACTGTTATTTATTTAACACTTTATTCATTATAAAGAAAAATGATGCAGAATGTCATTGAGCAGTGAAATACATACTGTAGATGCTGTGGGGGAAACTTCTGTAGCAATTAGAACAGGACTCAGAGAGACACGAGGAGAGCTGGAGCTTTGATGGCAAACACTGACGGTTTATTTGGAGTTACGGCCGGAGAATTTACACGACAGGTGGTGTGTCACGAGTTGACACAGCGGTTGCCAAACCAATTCTGAAGAACTCTTTCTGTAGCTCGAGGTTTTAACTAGTTCAGAGTGTAATAATCAACATTCTTTATCAGTGAGACTAAACAATTATGGACTAGAGCTCTCGTCCATAGAAAAGAATGTGCGCCAGGCAACCTACGTCCCTGAACAGTAAACTACCTCATGGCGGCTTGTGCTCTGTCATAGACTGGCAACAGCAATGCGCCCAAGCTGCTCCTCCTTAAAGTGGACCTATCATGCTATATCTGAATAATATAGTGTAGGACCATACCTATATAAGGCATATTTATACTTTTTTTTTTTTTCAAAATCCCAAACAGATCATGCATTTTAGCCATGCCTCATTTTGCTCAATTTGACATTTTTTAGCTCTGTTTCTGCAAGGGCTGATTCTGTGAGAACAGCACCACCTACAGGCCTGGCATATGTACTACAGCGTCTCCAGCGCTTTCGAACGGCAATGGCCGTGGCTGTCTCCTCCTGATTGGTGGAGTTGGCCCAATAGCCGTAGCGCCACCGTCCTGACGTCAGGACAGTGTTCAAATCTGGATCAGTTTTTATCAGATCCGTTGCAGCCCCTTTTTTAGAGATTTGGGTATGGAGGAAAATAGAGAGGGTTGTGTTTTCTGACACTTGGTGAGTTCCCTGGAACACCGGGGACACGTATTCATGTAGAAAAGACCTACAAAAGTGCATTTTGCATGATAGGTCCCCTTTAAGAGAGATAGCAGCAATACCCCAGGCCGTATAACTATGCCACGGGAAAGGAGACAGTAAAGAGAGGAAACGATGAACTGGGTCGAAGGTTGAATACCTAAGCAAATTATTCCCCAACAGATGCAACAGTGCACATTTAAACCAGACTGCCAAAAAGCTGATCAAATATACCCCCCAGCATGAAAGAAAACAACTAAACTATACAATTAAAATAAAATAAAAAAACAGAGTAAATGAGGTGAGTACACACGTTAGAAAAGACTGTTATAAAACTACTAAACCACTATTTGTCGTGATCATATAAACCCAAAACTAAACTATGGTTTCAGATCCTAGTACTTATACCACACTGAGAAAATACTCCACAACTAGCAAAAGTGCTGCTTTCAAAACCTGACTAAAGTAGAAGTATGCAAGTACAACATGTAGTTCAAGTAATTAGAGTAAAAGTATTCTTTGTGCAGTAAATGTGTACAATGTTTCCCACTGAGATGTAGTGTGCTAAAAGTATAAAATAGCACAACATGAAAATACTCAAGCAAAGTAAAAGTACATCTAATTTGTACTTAAGCACAGTGTTTGAGTAAATGTACTTTCCATCACTGTACACAGTTCTCTCAAAGAGCCAAAACTGTAAAATAGGAAGAAACTTCTCAGATTCTTGACAGTAAACTCAATCCAGGGCTGACGCTGAGTCGGTGCTGAGACAGAAATGTGCTGAGTTGAAGGATTATTGGTGGTTACAGTAATAATAAGTATTATGACGCTGCATGTGTCTGCAGTTGATTTGACAACAAACACAGAGAGACATCAGAGAGCATGGAAACACATCAGGACTGAACACACTGTACGAACAGATATGTGTTGGATGATTTTCAAAAAGTAACTTCAGACACATGTGATTTGTTTAATGTACTTTAAACCAATCCATCATCGTAGATTATTCTAAAACTGATAATTGGTATAGACATGAAGTCAATCAATTTCAAGTTTTTTGCGGTACTTGTACTTCACTTGAGTATTCCCACTTTGTGATACTTTATATTTCTCCTCCACTACATTTACCTGACTATAGTATAGGGAGGTGTGTGGCGCAGTGGAATAGTGTGTTGGTGTTATCAGGGGAGCACAGGTTCAAACCCCACTGCAGTCAGCATGTCGTTGTGTCCCTGAGACACTTCACCCCAAAGTCGCTTTGGATAAAAGCGTCTAACAAGTGACGTGTAATGTAATGTAATGTAATGGTGGCTTTGCTGATAAAGATTTATATATAAAACATTATCATCTTATGCAACATGATGCATGATTCGTATAGATTATGCATCACCTTACCATCATTAATTAATTAACAGAATAATGAGTTTGTATATTTTTTAGTGTTACGTTTTAAATGCATCGCAATTACTTTTGCTTTCAAGGACATAAATATGACACGATCGTACTTTGACTTTGGTAACATTTTGGAACACAGGACTTTTACTTGTTTTGGAGTTTTGTCAGAGAATCGTGTTATCAGACACGACAAGATAAATCTGTATTATCCTGTAGGGCAGTGATTCTCAAATAGGGGTACGCGGACCCCTGGGGGTACTTTGGGGTACTGCAGGGGATACGTGAGATTTAAAAAATAAAATAAAAAAAAGGTTAATTAAAAAAATACCATGCATGATTACAAAAATAATCTTAGTACAATAAGTTAAATAGAAAACACAATTTTATATAAAATATTCCTAGAACCACCAAGGGAGTCCTCATATAAACATGTCAAATGTGTATATTGTATTTTATAGTTTTTCACAATATATCATTTTGTTCATTGGTTTGTTAAACATATATTACTTCAATTGAAAAACTCCTTGGAAAAATCTGTTTTATAAAAATGTTATTTTTTTTCATGCATGAAGATGAAAATATCCTTAATTTGTTGTAATGCACGCACGAAGGAGTTAATAAATCACACACTGAGGGAACATCACTCTATTGTAATTATTTATATAGGCTTTTTCTATCAAAAATGTTCGGGGTCGGTCAGGGGGTACTTGGCTGAGAAAATGTTTCAAAGGGGGTACATTACTGAAAAAAGTTTGAGAAGCACTGCTGTAGGGCAGCGGTTCCCAACCTGTGGGTCGCGGCCCCCTAGTGTTCCACGAAGGCATTGCAAGTGGGCCGCCAAATAATTTTTCTTTTTTTCTTTTAATTTTGTACAGGCTAAAGACAGAAACATGGACATAACAATAACATATAGGAGATGACATTCCCATCTCAGACAACAACAAAACAAAAACAGAAGAAATAAAGATGCAGTCAGTAGAATCACTTCAACATTTCACAAACAAAAATAGGTTGACGACCAAAAACCACCAAAAACACAGCATGGCATATTTATAGTTCCTTTAATCCCACTCTTCGTTAGAGCTCATTATTTCCCATTTCATAGCGTGTTCACCCTTTGATTTTTTGATTTTGAATCTACTCTTCAAACACCTTAAATTAAGATTACTCCTTGATTGACTTTTAAAAATATGTATTTTAGCCAGAATAATTGTTGTATTTATTAACTGTGTGCAGTCTTCATCTAAAAGCCCAAATAAAATATGAAAGGGTGTAAATGTAAATTCAATATTTGCTGCCAAATAATTTGCAAAACATTATGATTTGTGTGGAAGCATTTTCATTATTAAGATTTCTTTTATTTTAACCTGTTTTCCTTTCTCTTTCTCAATCCTCCTTAGCAACGGTCATTACAGTCCTTAGCAACGGCCATTACAGTCCTTGACAGCGGTCTGTTCTACTGGATTTACAACGTGTCACATGTTCTGAATTGACCAATCAGAACTTTATTTACCCTCCGTATTATTTATGGTTGAATGTGGGCCGCAAAAAAAAAATGTGATTCTTAAGTGGGCCCTGAGTTGAAAAAGGTTGGGAACCGCTGCTGTAGGGAAATGCAGGTATATCATGGTGCGTGGTTGGTTATTAAACTCACTAGTTGACTGACATTGAACTCTTTGCAGTGTAAACAAATGAGGAAGTTTGACAGAGCTGATGTTTGGGTCTCTGCATGATGTCAGTGTTATTGCTCCAGTTCTCTGTTATCACTGTGCGTCTCGTTCCTGTCTGATAACCTGCTTTTAGTCTCAGCTCATGTACAAACACACATCCATCAGCTGGCATGATAACGCAGAACCCTCCTCTGCAGCTGCTAATGCTCTCTCACAGACTCTGAGGAATACAAATAGATGTGTTCACGCTCCGTCTCTGGCAGGTCGGACAGATTCCAGGCGCTCCTCACTGCTCTGGGTTTGATTTTGTGTGTTTTCTCTGATAACTGGGTACCAGCTGTTGGCTTGAACACTGAGGCCTGCTGCTGCTGATCCTCATTCCCAGAATTCCTCAGGGATTTCTGCAGGATGGCAGCACCGAGGAAAAATGCAGAAGTGTTTTATTATCCTGAGGTTCGGGGCTGTAGGGAGGAATTCAGAAAAGGTCACCAGGACAACCCCTTTTCTTTAGTTCTGTATTAGGATTTTTCTTTTTTTTAATTAAACCTAATTTAATTAATAACACTCTCTGTAATGTCCCTAACATGACGGTATACAGTATATGCTAGTGATTTCTGCAATATTTTGAAAACCCTACAGAGTTTGGTTGGTGCCTGTTATATACAAACATAATAATAAAGAAATAATATCAGGCAGGGATTCTCAACGTGATAATTCATTTGAATCATCATGTAAATATATGTTTCTTTTTTTACAAAAGGCTTCACAGTTCAACAAATAACATTTACATTTTTAAAGCTATAATAAATGATGAGTCAATCTCTAATTGAACACACATATTGACTTAGAATCTGCAAATACTAAGAGAAACATACTAGGAAAGGCAAACAAAACACATATTTGTGTACATACATAATTTTAATACTCTCTCACTAAATTACATACTTTACTAAACAGAATTTCCTCTTGTAAAGTAACCCTTCTTCTTCCTGATCAGTATTATTGTAATACATATATTCCGGCCACTAGGGGCAGCACTGAGCACTCAACTGCTGAGCAGAACTCCACTTAGGCAGTGAGGAAGAAGATTTGCGCCATTTTTGAATTAACGTTTGTTTGTTGAAGTCTGTCACTCGGAGTAAATCATGTTTTCTATCAACATAACCCCCCTGACATCTACTTTGTACCGCCTGTTAAGTCGACGAGAGGATTGTATTTTCTCCGGTGGGTGTATATGTCTCTTGATCGCTACTTATAAACTGTATTACTGTCGGAATGAGTGATAGTTGTGTTAAATCGACGGAGCAATCCATAACCGTCGCGCGCATAATGGCATGTGTGTTCCCAGTTTAGACTGTAGCGCATTCATCCAAAGTGATTTCTAGGACCAAGTTACAATTCTTAAAAGTTATATTTATGATTTTGCTGATGTCTTAACGTCTGCACAGAGTGGTAAATGTTTTACAGGGAATAAACGTACTTTTAAATCCAATAATTTAACCAACTGTTAGCTTATAATGTGGCAATAAGCTAACATCATTGAGCTTTGCTACAGCCTCTGAGGCTAGGTAAGATAGCATAACACCAACATCATTTATTAGTGTTTTAGTTTTCATAATGACATATTCAACATATGAATCTTCAATTAAATCTAAATAAATTGTCTGTAGTCGATTAAGGAAGTCAACAAATTACATTTACTAAAGCAAATTATAAAGGAACTGTAGTTTTTTCAAAGTAACAGCAAGTAATGGACATGCTTTTAAAATGACATTTGGATATGGTCTTTTCTTTGCCTTTTTTTGTATACTTATTTTTCTCATTTATAGCCCTTTTGCTTAATTGTGTTACCTTTTAGACTTGTTTTGGTTTATTTTAATATTTTGTGTTCTAAAGTTTTAATTTTGTCCTGTTACAACCCTTGTAACTTTATTTTTGGAAAAGGCTATAGGCCTACAAATGTGGTTTGTTCTTTTTTTGTGCAAATTAAAGTAAAAACAAATCTTAAAACCAAGTAAATCCACAAAAATCATATGGACAGTTTCCATAAAAAAACGTGTTCTGTTAAAGGTGGGGTAGGTAATTCACTTCAGAAACACTTTTTGTTATATTCCATGGAATGCTCTTAACATCCCGATAGCAATGAATACATTAAATGTTTTGACAATAAATATATACAAATATTTAATCTGTGGAAGCCGTGGCGCTGTAAAAAGCACGACCAATCATCTGAGCCGGCCCGTGTCAGATAACTGGATGGCCTACCTGCCTGTCAGCCTTGTGCACAAACTCATCTGGTGCCCTCATTGGTCATGTGCACGTCCGTTTGTTGGAGGAGGGGCTCTGTAAGGAAGTCTGAAGGAAGGGGCAGATTTATTCCGGTTGTGTGCTTTCAAATTCTAGCACACTCGAGCTGGTTTCTCCATTCTTACCTACCCTACCTTTAAGGTCTAATGGAAAGTTGTAAACTCAGTGAAGATACAATCTTTTATCCTGAAGACAAACTGATTTATATGTATTAACATATAGGAAATGTTCATGCCTAATAGAGGAAGGTCCTTTTGGCTTCGTTAGCTCAAGAGTTCCCTTGAATTCTATGACCGGTAGCAGCAGGTCTATAAATCCTGTATAAACACTTGAGTCTAAAGTTAGGACCCTCTTATTGGTAGGAATGTGTCCACTCGATGAGCTACTCTTATCTGTAAGATGTTACCTGACCTGCAGATAACCAGGAAGTCCTGCAGCAGAGACGTTATGTACACTTCAGCGGAAAAAAGCACTCGACTCTCAGGACGATTTAAGGGAAATTAGCCTTTAAACTTTGAACTTCCTATCTGTCACAAAGCTGTACAACATATCCTTACACCCCAGAAACACTCTTGCAGAGGCTTAAGTAGTTTTATCCTTTACTGAAGATCCAATATGTAAAACTACACGATTCCTGCTGATAGGAAATGAACTGAAGGAAAGCCAGAACCTGTTTCAGTGTTGAAATGGGCACCTGAATGAAAAACACAACCTGTGCTTTAAAGTGGACCTATATATATATAATATATTGTAGGGCCATACCTATATAAGGTATATTTATACGTTTTCTTTTTCAAAATACCAAACAGACCATGCATTTTAGCCATGCCTCATTTCGCTCTATTTTGCTCTCCTCCACCCTGTCTTTGCATGCACTGCAGCTGACCACGCCCCCCTGCAAAGGAGGGGGCCGAGTTACGAGCGTCGTGTTACCATGCTGTTACCATGCTGTTACCATGCTGTTACCATGCCACGGCAACCTCTCATTCCCCTGATAGGTCAGCTCCTCCGTCCTGACGTCAGAGAAATGTTCAAATCTGGATCAGTTTTTATCAGATCCGTTGCAGCCCCTTTTTTAGAGATTTGGGTATGGAGGAAAATAGAGAGGGTTGTGTTTTCTGACACTTGGTGAGTTCCCTGGAACACCGGGGACACATATTCATGTAGAAAAGACGTACACAAGTGCATTTTGCATGATAGGTCCCCTTTAAGTAAAACGGCAGAAGTATTGCTGGCTTCATGTAGGGAAAGTATCAGAAGTAATTTTAAAGGTTTTATTGTCATATAAAGAAAATAAGCTGCCAACAGTGCAATGTACAATAAACTTAAGACCTAAAGAAATAAGGAAGTCAAAGAGTGCAATAAAAATAGTGCAAGTGATGCATGGGGCAAGTCAGATGCAGGAATAAGTCAACTATGAACATGTAAAACAGAATAAGATCAGACAGAATAGGACATTGAAGGACTCGTTCTGCTGTTAATTCATTAATTTAAATAAAAAAATGTTGTGTAGTAAGGCTGCACTTATGAATGTATTTTTCAATAATAATGTAAAAGACTCTGATATCAGTCTTAATAGTCGCAATTAGTTATTTTTTCCAAATCATGCAGCCCTAGTTACAAGATATGGAAAACGACTTCATCCTGAGATGTTTTATTTCATATCCAATGTCTTGAGATTAAGAGCGGGGAAGGAAAAGCCAACTGTGTGTTCATTTGATTTAGGCAAGGCAAGGCAAGTTTATTTATATAGCACTTTTCAACACAAGGTAATTCAAAGTGCTTTACAAAAATGAAAGACCTTAAGAGCATAAAACACATTAGAAACATTAAAAAACAAAACAAATAAAACGTGAATAATAGGTACATGAATAAAAGTTACAGTGCAGTGTAAGATGTGAATAGTGAATATGTATTGTATTGTAATAGTGAATATGCTCTCTCTGTAAAGTTGTATGTGCACCTGTGTTCCCGTCCTGCAGGAGAAGGTGGAGCTGACGGACGTTTACACAGAGCTGAAGACCGGAGTCGCCCTGATCCGTCTGTTGGAGCTCATCTCAAAGGAGAAGCTGCCCAAACCCACCCACCGAAAACTGAGGGTCCACTGCCTGGAGAACAACAGCAACGCCATCAGCTTCCTCAAAACAAAGGTTACTGTCGTGGCTTCCTTGCCTTAAACAGACATTTTTTTACTCGTTTTTCTTTCCTTTATATTACTTACAGTTGAAGAGTTGCTTGGCCTCCGATGGTTTGGATGAAGTTATGCGATGTGTTTGCTCAAAATAAAATAACAAACTTTTACACATGCAACAAAGAAAAGAGGCCGTTACAATATTCAAAACAAATAACAAACAACTTAGGTATTCTTTCTGTCTTGATAAAGCTTAACTTCATAACTTAAGGGTAATTGGACGGTTAAAAAAAAACGGTCACTTTAGAGGAGGCGCCGTGGGAATTGTAGTCTTTTATAGTGTGTTGACTACAGACGTCACAATTATACTGGCTCTAAAGGCCCGGGGACACCGCGCCGATTTCGGCCGTCGATAGATGTCTGGCCGTCGATGAGCGTCCTGTCGCCCTACTCAGATTGGTGTGTCCCGCACCGTCGTGTCTTTTCGGGCCGTGCCGACACCTTCCGCTCCCGATTCGACATGTTGAATCGGGAGGCTGTTGGCAAAAGAAATCACTCTGATTGGCTGTTCAGCTTAGCGAATCAGAGCATGAGAAGCGAAACGGAAGTGAAGAAGGCACACACAGACGGCTATTATTTTTCATTTTCCAGTACCGCACTAGACATGTTTTAGATTATAAGTCGTTATGTGAAACAGTCTGTGATGGACGAGAGTGAAAATGGAACGCACGCTATTTGTTGTTTGTATATATCACGCAGTCTGTTCTTCTTCTCTCGGTGTATCACGCAGTCTGTCTTCCGGTTGCCTCTTTTGAATGACGAATACACACTACCGCCGCCTGCTGGTAAGGAGAGTTATTGCCACTCACGCATGCGCAGTTCGTACGTGCTACTTGGCCGTCGGCTGAAGTCTTTGCGGTGTGTTCCAGTGCGACACATGGCCAAGACGCAGAGACGTGAGGCGACACAACAGTCAAGTCCGTCGGGACGTGTTCTTTGGTGTCAGCTTGGTGTCAGTTTGGTGTCAGATTGGTGTCAGTTTGGTGTCAGCTTGGTGTCAGCTTGGTGTCAGCTTGGTGTCAGTTTGGAGTCAGTTTGGTGTCAGCTTGGTGTCAGCTTGGAGTCAGTTTGGTGTCAGCTTGGTGTCAGTTTGGTGTCAGTTTGGTGTCAGTTTGGAGTCAGTTTGGTGTCAGATTGGTGTCAGTTGGGTGTCAGTTTGGTGTCAGTTTGGAGTCAGTTTGGTGTCAGTTTGGTGTCAGTTTGGTGTCAGTTGTGGAGTCAGTTTTGGTGTCAGTTTGGTGTCTTTGGTAGTCAGTTTGGTGTCAGTTTGGTGTCAGTTTGGTGTCAGTTTGGTAGTTGGCAGTTGGTGTCAGTTTGGTGTCAAGTTTGGTGTCAGTTTGGAGTCAGTTTGGTGTCAGTTTGGAGTCAGTTTGGTGTCAGTTTGGTGTCAGTTGGAGTCAGTTGTGTCAGTTTGGTGTCAGTTTGGTGTCAGTTTGGTGTCAGTTTGGTGTCAGCTTGGTGTCAGTTTGGTGTCAGTTTGGTGTCAGTTTGGTGTCAGCTTGGTGTCAGTTTGGTGTCAGTTTGGTGTCAGTTTGGAGTCAGTTTGGTGTCAGTTTGGTGTCAGTTAGGTGTCAGTTTGGTGTCAGTTTGGAGTCAGTTTGGTGTCAGTTTGGTGTCAGTTTGGTGTCAGTTTGGTGTGTCAGGGCCTTAACAGTTACTGTCATTCAGATTACTAACAAAGAGTCTAGTCCAACAACCCATCAAACTGTCCGGTTTACTTTCCATTTTTATCCATTTTTATCTTTTTGGTTACATGACAAGTCTTTTATTTGACTTTCACTTATATAGTTTCACGATCCTTGCTTGAATCGGAAATGGTTCTCATGCATTTTGAAGACTTTTTAGATTAGATTAGATTTGGTTTAGTTTATTTATTTGATAATACATTCTTTACAATGCAGAAAACCTTAATGCTTGTATGAAGCCTCCACCTAAATAATATTAAAATGTACAATATAAAATAAATTAGTGATGGAGATGTAATAAAAACAACAATAAAATAACAAATGGAAAAAAAAGGAACATTAAATTAAACATTAAAGGATGGAATGTACCCTCCCTCTTTCTTTCTTTCCTGTCAGATTCGGGTGGATCTGATTGGTCCAGAGAATGTGGTGGACGGGGACCGAACGCTGATCCTGGGTCTGCTGTGGATCATCATCCTCAGGTTCCAGATCGGACCCATCAACCTGGACGAGGTAGGGATTCAAACCCACGACCTTCAGTCTGCAATAAGCTGTAATCCAGTTTATAAAGTCCCTTTCCTTCTTCCTGACTGTCCTCCTTCACCCCTTTCTCTTTCCTTTACCTCGATCTCCATCCTTCTTCCTCCGTCCTTTCTTTGTCTTACTTCCTCTACCTTTCTTAAGATAAGCCAAGGTCATCCTTTATTGATCCCTGTTGCAAAATGCAGGTGTTAAAGCAGCAACAGGAATTAGTTTGAAACGCTGAATAGGACAGGTAAGAGTTCACAGAAGGATACTAAGAATAAAATTAAGTATGCAGGGTGTTACGTTTTGAAATGAGGGTCCTTTTCCCTTTTCAAATTCCTGTTTTAAGTCTTTTAACTTGTTTTAACTCCTACTGTATTTACAATGTTGTATCTCTTTTATGCATGGTGTTTATAAATCTGTTATTCCATTATGTTAAAGGGGACCTATCATGCAAAGTGCACTTTTTGATGTCTTCTCTACATCAACATGTGTCCCCGGTGTGTCGGGGAACTCACGCAGCGTCAGAAAATAAAACCCTCTCTCTTTTCCTCCGTACCCAAATCTCTAAAAACGGGGAACAACGGAGCTGATCCAGATTTGCGTCCGATATGACGTAATATCTGAAATGTGGACCCACGGCCCTATCAGAAACGTTGCTATCAGAAACAATGCCCGACTGTTTTGGACGTAATATGGTCGGTGTTTACATTAGCATCGCTAAAGGCCCCTACACACCAGGCCGATATCGGCCGTCTTGCGTTGTTTGGCGACAACGGGTTCCTTGTCGCCCAAAGTCAATTTGGTGTGTCCCGAACCCTCGGCCGTGACACGCCTTATTTGGCCTTTCACGGTCGACACCCGGCCGATTCAACATGTTGAATCGGCCGTCGGACACAAGCTATCGGGCCAAGAAAGCACTCTGATCAGCTGTTCAGCTAGCAAATGAGAAGCGAAACGGAAGTGAGGGACGTAAACAAACGATTTAAGGCACAGGACAGCAGCTAAACCCCAGCAGGTGATACTTAAAGACATCAAACATAGCCCTTAAATGTCCTCTCTTACCTCCCACACATAGCAGGGACATCTCTGATATCGGCGGGAGCGTCCCCGGCTGTCCTCTGCTGAGAGCTCCGTGATTTGTTTGGTCAAGTCCGGTTTTTCATCTCATCGTAAATTTAGCAAGAAGTGGCCATTACTACATTGCTGACTCAAACTACACACCCGCCAGAACACTGCGATCATCAGATGCAGGTCTATTAACTGTGAGTTTATAGTATGTCTGCACTTTATGTGCTCATTTCATCATGCATGTATTTTTATATTCTAAAACATGTTTTCGATGGACGAGAGTGAAAATGGAACGCACACGCTATTTGTTTGTTTATATCAGTCTGTTCTTCTTCTCTCGGTGTATCACGCAGTCTTTCTTCCGGTTGTTGCCTATTTTGAATGACGAATACACACTACCGCCGCCTGCTGGTAAGGAGAGTTATTGCCACTCACGCATGCGCAGTTCGTACGTGCTCGGCTGAAGTAAAGCGGTGTATTTCAGTGCGACACACGGCCAAGACGCAGGAGAACTCGTCGATGGATCTGTCGGTGTTGGGTGTCGGCGAGTTCTCTGGTGACTGCCTGGTGTGTCAGGGCCTTTACACTCAGAGCTAACTAGATGTAAAGGCCCTGACACACCAGGCAGTCACCAGAGAACTC